GCTCCAGCCAAAGTTTCAAACTCAGCCAACAAATGTTTGTGGTAGGATTTGACCGCCTCTTCCGAGGGTCGACCGTGCAGCTGCAGTGCACTTTTGCTAAAGTTTGTACCCCTACTTGTACCTCATTTGTAAGCTGCCGTACTGAACTAGTGCTCAGGCGACAGCACCTCTCTAGAGGCAATTGTCAACATGGTGCGCTCAGCACCATCTTCAAACTGCTCATCCAACACGTCCAGTGTTGCTATGCTTTGGCACATCTCGCACAACTCCCAGAGGCTGTTGGCCTTGTTCACGCACACGAGTGTAGTGCGATACTGCATTCCTTCCCTGGGAAGATACAGTCCGACATCAAGGTATGCATTGGACTCGCACTTGAGTCCATACACTCCGGGGATGAGCTCCTCGAAGAACTCCGTACTGTTCTCCACAATCTTTTCAAGCACGGGCGACAAGGAAACGACTCGCACTTTGCAATCCCCTGATTTACTCGTCACAGCTCGAATACTGCCTTCAACCACCAAGCTATTGTGTCTGAACCGCACCGGCACTCGACGGGAACCCTTGGTGAGCACCAGCTCATTGTTCATGTGTTGCACACTCCAACCAGCCTTGTATAGCTTCCCGCATGCCAGCAGAGGTGACGTCACATCAGTCACCAGGAACCTTTCGCGAAAAGTCACACCGTTGTCTAGGACAACCTGTGCATAACGCCAACCATAAGCCTTCAACGGGTTTCGTTGTGCATCAGAGAAGCTAGCTGGCTGACTCACATCTGCGGCATAACCTGCTGCGCCATACGCATACGGCAAACATGACTCATCGGCACCCGAGTCCAGCACTACTTCTATAACCTGCATCTACTGCAACACCCTGAGAATCGCGACTCTGCCCAAAGCTTGCAGCGCGAATGACACTGTGGACATGGCATGTTGTATGTTCGGACGATTGGTCACAAGACTGTCCATGCTCACAAACGACCCACTCTGAGTCTGACATGTCGTACCACGAGACTCTAGCTGGGACCTGCGTACTGGCTCGATGCTCTGACGCGGGACCTGATTGCACTTGCGTGGGACCTGATTGCACCTGCGTGGGACCTGATTGCACATGCCTGGGACCTGTCTGCACTTGCACATGCGGACTTGACTGTACTTGCACATGCGGACTACCTGACTCATGCGGACTACCTGGCTCGTGCGGACTACCTGGCTCATGCGGACTACCTGGCTGCACTTGCACATGCGAACTACTTGGCTGCACTTGCACATGCGAACATGAGTGCACTTGCACGACCCTAACACTTGACTCTCCGATACAAGAAAACACAGTCAAGTCTACCTCTTCATCGCTCTCAGCAACGCTCAAAGACACGATTCACCTGACGGCTGCTGAGAGTGGGCGCTCTAGTGCTGGCAGTGGCCTGAGAAACTGTCGACGCTGCCGAGGAAGGCAACGCCTGCGACTGTTGTCCATCATCGGCCACCTGTTGCACACAGCTCTGCGGCGGATACCAACACTCATTCTTCCAGTGGCCACGGCGACCACAGTTTCCACAGACATCGGGGTCGAGTCGACCCTTTCCTCCACCTTTTCCTTTTCCTTTTCCGCCCTTAGGATCTTTTCCTTTGTTGCCCTTGCCATTTGACTTCCAATCCTGAGCCTGCCACGGCTTGCCCTTTCCTGCACCTTTGCCTTTTCCTTTGCCATCCTTTCCTTTTCCTTTCTGATCCTTGCCCTTGTTGCCTTTGCCATAACCTGGCTTGCCATACTTACCCTTGCCGACTCTGTCAATCTCCATGGGAGTGCTTTCATCATGATGCTGCCGATGGCCAAGCAGCACACTGTCTTGCGCAAACACATTGTTAACACCCCACTGGAACTGCACACGCTCATACCGCAACACTGCTTCCCTCATCACACTGTAAGAGGCATCCTCGGGCAACGATGCACAGATGTGCTGCCGCATGACTCCCGACAAGGATCGCAAGAGGAGGGCACTCTTCAAGGATGGCTGCACATCTTCTCCACTTGCAATGGAGTACTGTTCAAAGGCTCGCTCAAGCTCCAAGATCTGAGGAAGGTAGGGCTCCTTGGGATTGAAACCCTTTATCTGCGTGAGGGCACTCAAGATGCCCAGAGATCTCACCTTGGATGCCGGCTGGTACTGAAGCAAGAGCATGCGCAAGGCCTCATAGCCTTGCTGGCCGCTAATCTGCTTAACTGTCTGGAATGCTCGCCCCTTGATGAGGGCACTCAGCAAAGCATACAGCTGAAAGCTTCTAGCCTGCTGCTCTGCACTCACAATCACAACAGGCGTGTTCAAGGAACGCTCTACAGTAGCGATCTCTCCATCGAAGTTTGGATCAACGGCAAAAAGATACTGGCGGAATGTCCACCACCAGGCATGCCACTTGCTGTGCTCATCATCGGCCTTGTCACACCGGAAAGCGTCCGGTTTCGGAAGAATTTTCAGAAGGTCTCGGCCTTCCAACCCCGACCTGGCACTGGATGCAGCCTGTGCATTCTGCATCGACTGCATGGCTGCTGCTGCAATGCTGGCGGCATTGGTGGACGCTGCTATCATCTCACTCATTCTGTTCAACACAGCATCCAAGCCTACACTTGCAGCAGAGGCGGGACTAAAGGGGTTAGCACCTATGGGCTCTAGCTCAGGCAGACCATCTGGTCCATCAATCTCCGGCATGGGCACTGCAGCTGCTGCTGCTTGCTGAGCGGCAAGCTCAGCTGCATCCATGGCTCTACTGCCAAAGTTGCGCTCTGGCGTCTGCAGCTACCCGGCGCGCTTAGCCTTACCAACCAAAGACAAGGAAAGTCCTGATCCCTCACAAAGCTTTAAGGTCAAAAGCTCGAGGAACCAACAAGACGTGTCCTTGCCGTGTCTGCTTGACGTGTTCTCTCCTACGGGGCTTGGGTCCTGGCCCCTGAGCACTGCTTCAGAGAGACTCAAGGAATCCCTGGTGCAGCGCTCCGCTACCGTGCTAAACTTTTCCAGTGATTCACACGCCTGCGGAGTCACACATTCCATCATCATGCCTGAGGTTGCTGGGGATGGTGCTGCAGCAGTGGCGCCTGGTGGCACGTCCGAACGCCAGGCAGACTCTGACATGCCTGGCACTCCTGACCTTGAAGCTTTGTTTGCAAGTGATGATGATAAGGAAAAGCAGCACCATGATGATAAGGATGTGCCCACGCTTGAGCAGGCAGCTCTTGAGGCAAGCGCCAGAGATGATGATGAGACAGCCGGTGATTTTGTTGAAGTGAATGGTGTGCGCATTGATGCTGATTCTGCGCTGAGTGTCATGCGCAAAGCTTGTGAGTACCTCAACATAGGCCGGTCAGGTGGCAAAGCCAAGGTGTACAAGCGTTTGTGCCAGCATCTGAAGCAGATGCAGCTTGCCGAAGGTGTGCGGCTTAAGCAAGCCAAGGCGCAGGCTGAGGAACGTGAGCCACGTGAAGTTCCACTTGTGCGTGAGCCAACGCAGCATGAACGATTGAAGCATTGTTTAACCCAGTCGCCCTACCAGCCGTGGTGCGAGTTCTGTGTGATGCACAAGGCAAGAAGTGACAAGGCTGTGACAGCCATCGAACCCAAGCGTTCGGTGTCAGTGCTCTCGTTCGATTACGGGTTTACGGGCCGAGAGCTTGATCCAGAGAGTAAACTTATCACGTTGTGCATCAAGGACCGTGACAGTGGATGGAGAGAATCAATCCCGACCAAGCGGAAAGGAGGACCAGAGAGTCTTCGCTACTTGACAGGTGAAGTCGTTCGCTTGTGCAACGTGCTTGGTTACAATGATGTGACGATCCGCTCCGACCCGGAGCCCAGCTGCCGAAGTCTTCAGAATGAGATTCAGAAAGCTCGTGGCCGACTGGGGCAGCGAACAAGGCTTGAACAATCTGGAGAGGAGGAAAAGTCCTCCAATGGAGCCGCTGAGGAAGCGGTGGCAGCCACGCGTCAGCAGTCTTGTGTGCTACTGAGTGCATACGAGCATCATACAGGCAAGAAGGTTGGGAGCCAGCATCCGCTCCACGCGTGGGCGGTGCGGCATGGCAGTTGGATCCTCAACAGATACTGCGTGTCGCGTGATCAGCAGACGCCTTTCGAGATCACTTTTCAGTCGCCGTACACAGGGAAGTTGGTCGAGTTTGGAGAGTGTGTCATGGCCATGTGCAGGACAGCTATGACGAACAAGCCTGTGAAGGGCTCTGCCAAGTGGGTGCGGTCAATGTGGCTGGGCAAGGCAAATGCGAGCGATGGACACTTGGTTGTCACTGCTGGAGGTAAGCTGTTGATCACAAGGTCCATTCGCCGAACCCCCGAGCGTTGGGATGAAAGCCTTCATGATTGCATCAAAGATTTCCCATGGGATCACCCGGGCTTTGTGGCCGGTGGTCTTGGTAGAATGCGCAAGCAAAGGGAGCCCAAGGCTGTTGAGGCTGAGGCAGGTCCCGAGGCTGATGAGGTTGGTGTGCTCGGGCCTGTGAGCCCATTGCTGCATGCCGGTGACGAGGCCGGCTCCGACCCCGAGAGCAGTTCCCCCAATGCGGTTGTGTCGCCGAGTGCGGATGCAAAGGATGATGATGATAAGAGCAGTGAACACAGCAATGAGGATGACAGACCCAGTGCCACTGCCCCATCGCCACCCGCTGGTGCACATGACGAGCCAACGCAAGATGTCGAACCTGTGGGCCCCGAGCCCTCGGTGCCCGTCGCAGGCGGGGATGGCGGGGACGCTGAATCTGCCTCTCCTGTTGAGCGCCCAGCTAAGTCAGCACGGTTGCAAGCGGTTACGCAAGACGACCTCTACCACAATGATGCGTCAATTGATCTTGATTTTCAGCATGGGGAACTCGATGACCTTGAGGGGTATGATTATGGTTTGGATGATTACTACTTCAGTGAGGAGCCTGACCTTGCTGATGGACCGCCAGATGAGCTGTGGCGACCTTTCAGCCCAGCTGAGCCAGAGCTGACAGAGGATGAACTGTTCAAGGTTGACAGTGCTGCGGATGATTTTGAAATTCGGAGATTGCTGGAGATGAATGTGCTTGAAGCCATGACCGCGTCAGCAGCAGAGCAAGCTCAGCAAGAAGGTTCTAGACTCTTGTCTACGAAGTTTGTCCGCAGTTGGCGGATCAAGATGCGCAAGCTCGACAATGGGCGTGAGGAGCAGCAATACTTGAGAAGATCACGGTTTGTCGGCCGTGAGTATGCCTGGTTAGACAAGGACAGAACCGAGCTGTTTGCTCCGGCTTCAAGCAGCCTACTGACGAGATTACTCCCCAGTGTTTTTATGCACAACAAGGGCAACAACCATGCCTGTTGCGTCCTCGACGTAGCAGACGCTTTTCTCACCGTTGATCAGCGTATCCCTACAATTGTTCGTGCGAATTTGGGCAGCGGGCATGAGGAGCAATATGTGCAACACTTTCGTCTGCTGAAACTTTTGCCTGGCCAGCGTGATGGCACAGTGCGCTGGCACGAGGCATTCACCGAATACCTCGATGGCAAGCTTGGTTTGGAGCCTTATGTGCCATGCCCTGCCCTTTTCAGGCTGAAGCAAGTTGATGTGTCAGGACTCCTTCCCTTCACGTGGATGACCTTTTCAGTGAAGGAGCGCGCCCAGGACTTGAGACAATGGTTGCTTGTGTCAAGGAGAAGTACAAGTGTACCGTGAGTTGGCTGTGTGCACATGGGGATGAAGTTGGTTTCCTTAAGAAGAGCTACAAGCTGGTGAGAGATGATTTGCTGATCATCCAGCCTCACCCTCGCCACGTTGAGCGTTTGGTTGAAATGTTCGGTTTGGGGCGCAGTGCGCCCAAGGCCAGCCCCATGCCGACAACAGTGCCGTTTGATGAGGCCGAGTTGGACAATGAGCGCAGCACGCTGTTCAGGGCTGCCGTGGGCATTTTGCTCTACTTGCAGGCCGATGTGGTGGAGGCCCAGTTTGGAATCAGATGGCTAGCTCAACATATGAGCCGGCCTACTACTGGGGCACTTCGGGTGCTCCGACACATGATCCTGTACCTGAAAGGGACGAGCAGCTATGGCATTGGATTTCCTGTTCCCACTCGTGGTGTTGGGATAACTGTGCAAAGCAAGTCTGGACTGGATGTGCTGGAGACACACACGGACGCTGATTGGGCCGGGGACCGCGAGCATCGCCGATCGGTTTCTGGCTGCGTGATTACCCTGAATGGGCACACGCTCAGCAGCAGCAGCAGGACGCAGAAGACTATAGCGCTCAGTTCCGGGGAATCTGAGTATGCAAGTGCGGTTTCGGGCACATGTGACCAAGTGTTCATTCGGAATGCTGCTGAGTTTGTGATGCGAAGCAAAGTGGAATCGCGTTTGTTACTTGACAGTGCAGCTGCGAGAGGCGTGATAGCGCGCCAAGGGGCCGGGCGTATCCGGCATCTGGAAGCTAAGATGTTGTGGTTGCAACAGTATGCCCGTGAACATCTGTGTGTGCACCCTGTGGATGGCAAGCATAACATTGCGGATTTACGAACCAAAAGCCTGAACGGTGGCCGTATCAAGGCATTGCTCTACAAGGTTGGAGTTCGTGACAGTCGTGATGACTTTGCACTTGTTGGTCATGATGAGTTCCAAAACCTTTTGGATGGCAGCACAGTGCGCAAGCTGGTGCGGTTGGTGAAGCAGCAAGGAAATGTGGGCAACTCAGTTGGGTTGCAAGTGGCCATGATTGTTTTGTCGCACGCCTTGAGCCAACACGCCGTTGCAGCAGCAGCTGACACCGGTGATGGGCCAAACGGCGAGGATGCAGATGCAATGCACAGCAGTTTTCAGCAAGTGTTGGAGATTGTGTTGATGTTGGCCGCTTTTGCAGGTGAGTATGCCCAAAGGTACCCAGTAGCCACCACCGCTGTAGTGCAAGGGTTTATGTGGTTGATAGTGTTGTGCCTGGGTTGGTGCCTGTGCAGCAGAAGCAGAGTGCAGCTGAGCATGCGTGGTGATGCGTCAGGAAATGGCGAGACCTCTCCTGCATCGACACGAGCAAGAGGATGATGATGAGCCTCGTGTGGACTGCGGAGAACGGAATGCAAGCGGTTGCCCAGCAAGCAGCAGCCAAGAAGTGCCAGGCCGCCTGAACTTCAATGTGCCGTTGACCCCAGGCACATCGGTCAAGCTTGAAGTTTCAAGTGGAGATGGGAGCAAGCATTCAAATGCTGATGGAAGCGCGAGTGCACCTAGTGTGTCAGGCAGTGCAAGCGAACATGATTTCCCGCGTGCAAGGCGTGAGCCAGTGCGACCCAAGGCCAAGGCAATGAACAAAGCTGATGACGAAGTCTGGGTGTCTGGATCCCAGGGTTACTGCTACCACAAAGCAGGTTGCGGCAAGTTGAACCAAAGCCACACCGTGACCTCTACGACAAGAGGTGAAGCTGAAACCCGCGGGTACCGCGGATGCCGCATATGCCGTCCTTGAATCTTGTGGATTGCTTGGAACTTTAATGCTCATGATGCCCATCCCTTGAGTGGGCAGCTCGTCGCTGTTCATTGATCGGATGGATCTTGTACAGTGGCGGCGTGGTTGCATGTACATAGCCTTGAGGTCGACAGTTGTGAGCGGTAGTGCATTTTGCACATGGAACCGCGTGCGAAATGGATTTCGCTTATCACCATTTTGGTGACAATACTTAGCCTATGGACCCGACGACGATGGATGTGGAGCATCCTGAAACCGATGACGCTTGTGCCGCGTCCGATGGTAATTAGGCCATCGCAATCCCATGTGTCTGAGGCAGTTCTTTAAAAGATCATGCCAGTGATGATCCTTGAAACTCTTATTTGGCCGCGAAGCACAGTTGAGCCATTTGGAATCTTGGACAAAGGCTTACGCTTGCGTCAGTCAAGCAATTCCTTCGTCGGCAGCCCATGCCTTCTGAAGGAATGTAACTAGTTGTAGCTACTTGTACAGCGTAGCTAACGTGCCAAAGACCTTGATGGCAGTGCGCAAACGTGACAAACCGTCTGGAAGCTGTAGGAGTTTGTGGAGCTTTAAACAGCTGTTGTTTCATACTCTGGTGGCAGCGACAAACTTTGTTAAAGAGCATTCACGAAGTCGTTCGCTCTTTAGGCGGGGTGCTAAAGTTTGTACCCCTACTTGTACCTCATTTGTAAGCTGCCGTACTGAACTAGTTCTGCATGCTGTTTTCTCTTTTGCTCCACTTTAGTTGTGAGCCCAATACGGAATGTGTGACTCCGCAGGCGTGTGAATCACTGGAAAAGTTTAGCAACTTTTAACCATCTCGGTTCGCCATGAAACCTCCGGTTCCTTAGAGATGACTGGCTTCGTCATCGAGGTTAGACCTCCCACCAACACCATTGGGTCAGGCAAGCTCATACCAAAGTCTATGCACCTTTGATACCACCGTCCCCAC